ACCGACGCTTCATGCAAAATTTCTCAAAAATAGCATCACCTTTGACCCAGATAACTCAAAAGAACACACCCTTTGAATGGACTGACAAACAAGAGTGTTGCTTCCAAGAATTAAAAAGTCGACTAGTGTTAGTTCCTATACTAGCACTCCTTACAGGAGCAGACGGGTTCGTAATTTATAATGATGCCTTATACAATAGTTTGGGTTGCGTTCTCATGCAAAACGGAAAGTCATTGTTTATGTATCGCGACAATTAAAGACTCATGAGAAGAACTACCCGACTCATGATTTGGAATTGGCTGCGGTGATCTTTGCCTTTAAAATCTGGCGTCATTATCTCTACGGTGTAACCTGCGAGATTTACACTGATCACAAGAGTCTTAAATATCTGTTCACAAAGAATGAACTGAATATGAGACAACGATGGTGGCTAGGATTTATGAAAGACTATGATGCGGAAATCCATCACCATCTAGGCAAAGCTAACGTGGTGACAGACGCACTGAGCCGAAAGACGACCAGAGGCTTGGCATGTACTTTCGTTTCTCGCAAAATCAATGGACTGCTCGCCAACATAACCATAGAACCTACACTGATTAAAGAAATTAAAGCACGCAATGGAAAGATAAACTTTTGAAGAAAAAGTACGAGGAACAAAGGAGTACGCCTAATCCTGATTTCACTATGAGCAATGGGATACTGAAATTTTGAAATCGAATTTGCATACCCGACATTCCAAAACTCAAGAAGAAGATATTAGTGAAAGCTCATAACTCGAGATTTACAGTCCACCCTGGCAACACAAAGATGTAACAGGATCTGAAGGAACACTACTGGTGGACAAAAATGAAAAGAGACATAGCAAGCCATCTCTCCAAATGTCTGCATTGTCAGCGTGTTAAAGGAGAACATCAGAGACCTGCAGGGCTGCTGTAACCACTCCCTATTCCTGAATGGAAATAGGAGCACATTACTATGGACTTCGTGGTCGGGCTACCACAATCGTTTTCGAAGAACGATGCAATATGCGTTATAATAGACCGATTGATGAAGTTGGCGCATAAGAATGATGCAATATGGGTTATAGTAGACCGATTGACGAAGTCGGCGTATTTTCTACCAATTAAAATCATGTACTCCCTTAATAAGTTTGCCACCTTGTACATCAAGGAAGTTATTCGTTTGCATGGCACCCTAGTTTCAATCGTGCCTGACCGAGACCCCCACTTCGTGTCTCACTTCTGGAACAAATTACAGGAGGCTTTAGGAACCACATTGAAGTTTAGCATTACTTATCACCCACAAATTGATGGGCAATCCGAAAGAACAATCCAGATGTTAGAAGACATGTTACATGTATGCGTATTGGACCTTAAAGGTAACTGGGATGAGCACCTACCTTTAGTGGAATTCGCCTATAACAACAGCTACCAAGCAAGCATTGGAATGGCACCGTACGAAGCTCTGTATGGAAGGAAATGTCAATCACCTCTGTGTTGGACGGAAGTCGGGGATAGGAAACTGTTAGGCCGCGAGATTGTGCAAGTCACAAGTGAGAAAATCTAACTCATCTAACAACGAATTCGCACTGCTCAAAGCCGTCAGAAAAGTTATGCAGATACACGGAGACGGGACTTGGAATTTCAAGTAGGGGATCATGTGTTCCTCAAGATCTCACCAACAAGAGGAGTTATTCGATTTGGAAAACGAGGAAAGCTAAACCGACGTTACATCGGGCCATTCGAGATACTGGAAATGATTGGTCCTGTAGCCTATCGCCTTGCTCTACCACCTGAACTATCCAATGTCCACAATGTGTTTCACGTTTCAATACTTCGACGGTATCTTCGAGATCCAGAACATGTTGTTGATTATGAGAACCTAGAAGTTCAAGAGGATCTCTCTTACGAAGAGCAACCAGTGCAGATTCTCGATCGCCGTAATCAAGTTCTTCGAAACAAGACCATAACGCTGGTAAAGGTCTTATGGAGAAATCATTGTATCGAGAAAGCTACGTGGGAAATGGAAAGTCAAATGCAAGCCAAATACCCACACCTCTTTGAAAATTAAGGTACGTCAAGTTTGGGGACAAACTTCTATTTAGGAAGGGAGAAATGTGACACCCTGAACGTTTAATTAAATACCACATAAATATTTATAGTTATATACATAATTGTGGTTGTATGTGATAATATATTATTAAAACAATAAATAAATACTAATAACAATAATAATAAAATAAATGTATAGAATAAGAATAATAATGATAATAATAATAATAATAGGCAATAGTAATAATAATAATGGAAGCTATACGTAACTTAATTTGTCATTGTGGTTATCAAATATATGATGAGGAGATTTATTTGAGGGCTAAATTAATCACTAATTAGTGTGAAAAGATTGGAATGTATAGATTTAGTTAAATAAATCAAGTAATAATGAATTAGGAAGATTTGTTTTAATTAGTAGGATTTACGGAGATTTGTTTTAATTAGGAGGATTTGCAAATATGGCTAAGAAGATGAGGAAGGGCCATCTGTATGTCTAGATGTAGAAGGGAGAGGTGAGTCATCATTAGGGTTGTTAATAAAGGGCGAGTCATCACCCAACATGTGTGTATAAATAAGAGGAAAGTGGTGAAGCTGGTTCGAGCGTGAAAACACAAAAGAAAAAACAAAAAAAAAAAAAGAGAGAGAGAGGAGATCAGCGAAAAAGGGAAGGGCCGAAAACCAACAGAAATAGAAAGAATTAGTAAGACTCAATCTTAAGATGAGTTATATTATACCTTAAGTTATCAAAATATATTTTGCGTATGTTTTGACTTACCATAATTTATTTTATACAAGTTATATTTTATGAGTTATATTAATACACGTTACATTTTATAAATTATATTAATATTTCAGTTACGTTGATTAATTTCTGAACTCTATTTGTTTAAAATGAAACTCATGGATATATTTGTTTAAATTTTAAAGAATATTTGACTATAACCTTATAAACAATTATGTTTTGTAAGTACCACCACGGGAGTCTCACGTATTGAGGGACTTAAATAACCATTGGTCTCTATTTGGCCACTTTGTGGTCCTCTGTTTATCATGGATCCATTAACCTCTGTTCTGACTGTCACTTCTGTGACCTTCGTTCTGTTCTGTTCTGTACCGTGGTTATGGTTATTTATTTACATAATTTCTGTATTTCAGTTTCTGTCACTTAAATGATTCATTTACCAAATTGAATTATGTAAATGTTTTGGTTTAACTAACTATCCATGGTTATTTTGTATTCCCTATACTCTTGGCATAATATTTCTCACTTTGCTGTGTGCTTATAGCTGTTACCCTTTCAGGTGATGAGATGTAAGACCCACAACCTCGTGTAGTGGAGCCTGTGCAAGAAATTGATGCCGATCCGTTAATTTATTTTTCTTTTCTTTTCTTTTCTTCCTGTCGTTGTTTTTCTGATTGTTGGTCGTTGCATAATAAAATAATAAAAGCCTATGGATGTATTTTTTTTTAAAAAAAATAGTTGAATGAAATAATTTTTTGTTTAATTATTTTTATTTTTACTTGCGCAGTTTAATTTGTTATGAATAAAATAAATTAGTAAGTTACGATTCTAACCCTAAGCTCCAAGGGTTAGGGTTAGGTCGTGACAACCCTATTCGTTCAGGGAGTGGCCCCACAATAAAAAAATCAAATCTAAATTATAAATCTACAATTTTGAATAAATTCTTTCTTTGTCGTTGTTATTATTATTATTATTTTGGTGCCGAGACTTTTTGCTGACCAAAAGGACTACATACCAAAAACAAAAATCTATTCTACAAAATTAACTAGAATTTAGAAGCAACGGTTAAAGATTCATTCCTGGAGTGGTTCCATATATTAATAGAAGTTGAGCAAATAAATTAACACTCTCTAGTTTATGTCATAATTTTTTTTTTTTTTTTTATAATTTGTAAATTAAAGTACACTGTTATTGACTTAAACAAAAAAATAAAATTTTATACACGTTTATACATATATAATCTCATTATATGCCTATGACATTTTCGTCCTTTTCAGATTCAAAATATAATTTACCCCATTATATTTTATTCCATCTGGGAGCCTCACTTTTGAAAATATAAACACATCACCTTATTTGATTCTAATTTTTTGAATTTAATTTTTTTTAAATTAATTTTTTTTTTGTTTTTTGTTTTTCTTATTTTTTTTTTATTTTTCGTGTATTTTTTTGATAATTTTACAAAATGTTTTATTTTTTAGATAGACCTAACCTAGATGTAACTAAATAGTAAAATATTTATAAAAAAATATTTAAAAAAAATCAGAAAATACACAAGAATACAAAAATGTACTAAATTTTAATATCTTTTGGTATTTAATGAATTTTTAAAAGATTTTTTTTTTACAAATATTATATTTTTTAATTGTATTTATATTAAGTGCATTTAAAAGGGTAAATTACAAATACACCCCTTGAGGTTTGTTTAAAATACAGATTTTCCCTTATAATTTGCAAAATTACAAATGCCCCTTATTAGAATTTTTTTTATTCACTACAACATATAAGACTTTTGGCGACCAATTATTTTGGTCCCTAAAACCATTATGTTGGTCTCTAAATAGTTTTTGTGACAAAATTAAATTTGTCACTAAAAAAGTCACTAAAAGTGCGTCTAGAAAAGTCTTTAGCGACGAGTTTTTGAAAATGTCACTAAAAATGACAATTAGCGACCAATTTTATATTGTCACAAAATGTTTGACTTTGCAAAACTAAAATATTTTGTCACTAATACTTTGTCACAAAATGTCTCAATTTGGTGGCAAAAAGCAAAATAGTAACCTTTTTAACAACAAATATATTTGGTCGCTAAAGGTTCGAAATAACATTTTGAAAACATTCAATTTCATAGCTACAAATTGACATCCACTGCCCAAATCTATCACTGTATATAGGAAAAAAAAAAAAAGAAGAAAGAAAGAAAGAAAGATAAAAAAAACTCACAAGATCAAATCTATTCATGTATATACAAAAAACAAATTACAAAAATCAAAACTTTAAGTATCCAAATTCACTTCAACATAGTTCATTATATGAGTTAAATCCCAAAATAAGATCAAAATAGTTCAACATTGTATGAGTTAGAACTCTATGACGACTTCAACTTTGTCTTTCTCTCGTACCCACCTCTTCACAAGTTCAGTTACAAGAGCAACATGCCCTAGTTGTTCCACGATCACAAAAGCTTATCACCGTCTATAGCCATAGAGAAAGGATGAAAATCCTGCACACATGATAATAATCAGAAGTGTAAACAAAGTTCAAAAATGTAAAAGAGATGTATATGAAATCCAAAATTGGATATCAACCTTGAAGCACTTAACTAAGGCATTTGAAGCAAACTAGACACACGAAAAATACCTTAACTTTCTCCTCATCATTAGTGTTCATAATATATGCCATATACCTAGGACATAGAATAAACATGATCACGAGGCGCAATTAAATAAAATAAGGGACCATCCATCTCATAATCATTAGATATTCAAATGCTAGAAATGACATATTCTGAATAATGATCATCATCTGTCCAGAAAAATACAATAAAGTCAATTAAAAAATAAGATAAAAGCTGTGATATCCAACACTGATGAAAATTCTCAAACAAGATTAAGGTCTATACTCTATAAAAGGAGCCTGTAATTTATTCATCATTCTGAACAAATAGGATTTTGGAGTTAGTTAACTAAATCTCACATACTAACTTGGGGAAGGTAACAAATAAAAAAAATGGGAATAGACATCATGGAGTAGAACTAGGCAAAACCCCTTATGCATAACAACAAATGTTAACAGAGCCATGAATGAATGTTAACAGAAAGCTTATCTAAGATGTGAAAGAGAGGATCAGAAGAAAAAGTAACTACCTTGAAAGCTCTAGCATGCAAAGTGAGTGTATGTGCAATTTGCTTATTCTACTCCAGGTTAGAATGAAGACGTTCACTCAATTCTTCACAAAGTTCATTAAGTCAGTGTTCAACCTGAAACAGAGTAACAGATAAAGAATGACCAAACCATCATCATAAAATATCTCCAAAGAATTTTTTATGAATGAAGACATGGCATTACTAGCACTTTGATATAAACAAATCAAATCCCAATAAAAGGTGATCGCCAAGGCCTAATTTGGACATGCAGATGCCACAGTAATGGCTGAAATCTTTGTAAACAGGACTCTTCTGAATCTCTGATTTGCTCTTATAATTTTTTCTAGTCATTTCTATTCATTCTCAGGTGAATTTCTGAAAATGTGACCTTCAACCACAAAATTGTCTAGCCTTTTCTGTTTCTCTCAAAATGGCAGGCTGTCGATGATCGAACTGTTGGTCATAATCCCGAGAGGTTGAGCTTACTGAAAGGAGGCATTGTGTATAGTAATGCAGTAGTGTAAGTGGTCTTACATTCTGTGGCTTGTATATCAAAGTTTACATCTGTATTTTAGTGTGTTTGGGATCCACTGAAAAAGCCAATTGCTTGGCTATGAAAGTCAAAAAGCCAAAAATCTTGTTTGTCATCAGCTAAAAAAGCTAAATGTCACATCAACTTTTTCACTCACAAAAAACTTCCCCCTCCCCTCCAAGGGCTGTCATTTGAAGTCATAACCATTCACGGATTTCAACTAATACTAAAAATTTGGACATCTCCAATGGTCAGCATGCTTACAAAATATGAATGGAAGATAAACCGGTAAAGGCATCACTTCTCTATGATTAAAAAGAAGACATTCTAGTGCAAATATTATTATAGATTGAGAATTGACAGAGTAAAAAACTAATAAGCTAATACTAAAAATCTGTATCTGTATGTGTGTGTGTATATATAGATTGAGAATTGACGGAGTAAAAAACCAGTAAGCTAAAGAATAAAAATTAACAAACATGTACAGAGCATTGCACAGGGGTTTGCATAATAATTAATCAGCATATCAACCTATATATTTATATATAAAACAATTTGTACCAAACAGTTTATATGATGAAGAGGCGATATCACTAAGGACTTGAAATCTGATTTCTACCTTATTCAATAATGTGCAATTGTGCATTTTCACGTCATAAAATGATTTGACATTATCTAATAGATGTTCCCTTCTTATTCAACAAAAGTTGGATATAGATAGGATGACTAAACTCACCCCATGAAAATAGTTGAGATAATAATCACTACATGTGGCTTAACTGCTTTCTTCCAGCCTACAATGGAGAATCAAACTTCAACTCATTGTGCTCCATGGACTAAAAGAATGATGGTGTAGCTGCTTTCCTATCGCTCACTTTAAACTAGAAGAATGATGATGTACATGTATATATACTGTGTCTGTGGAGAGAGAGAGAGATTGAAAACACACCAAATCGCTGTTGAATCCAAATTACTACGATCTCTGTTAGAAACCAAATCCATTTACTCAAACTTATATATATCTGCAAAAAAAATTGAAGAAGATGAAGAAAAAATTATATAAGATCTCAGAATTTGTGTATATGTATATGTGTGTGTGTGTGTGTGAAGCTAAAAAAAATGATATAAAATCTCAGAAAATTATGCATCAAGATCAAGATCTCAGCAGCCAAGAAAATCATTGATTTACCTTTCGATTGAAGCCAAAGAACTCAGATCTTCAACGATCGATTCGGATTGAAGCTGAGATCTTAATCGATTCGGATTAAAGTTACAATAGGTAAGATCGATTGAAGTTGAGATCAGTACAAAGATGGATTCCGATTGAAGTAAAGATCGATTCGGATATGAGGCGGCACAAAGATCGATTCAGATTGAAGCTAAAGATCTATCGAAGTTGAAGATCGATTGAGTCCTAGACAGAGTAAACAGCTGAGATCGATTAAGTCCTAGTGAAGATCGATTCTTATATCGCGTATTTGACAACCTTTAGCAACCAAACTAATTCGTCTCCAACTTTTACCCACCTCAAACACGCGGGTCAAGTGTCTAAGTGAACATACGTGTTAATTTTTTTGGTCCATAAAAGTCACTAAATAATTTTTTTTGGCCTATCATAAAGAAATGAGGCGTATTCTTATAATTTTCTTTTAAAATTTGTTTTTGTCCCTAAATGATGGTTTTTAGAGACTAAATTCAATTAGTCTCTAAATATTAGTCACTAAATCACTATTTTCTTGTAGTGATTTAACAGAATTAACTAGAAAAAAATGAAATTTATAATTGTTCTCCTACACAACAATAAAATTACCTAAATTATTAATTGAAACATATTTTTAATATCATTAAAAATATTTAACTGACTTGATAATTTATTAATAAAAGGGTGATTTGTTATAAAATTAGAAACCTCAGGGGGTAGAATGTAATTTTCAAAATTACAGGGGGCGATTTGTATTTTAATCAAATCTTAGGGGTGTATTTGTAATTTATCATATTTAAAATGTAAAAAATTTGCTTAAAATATTTTAAAAATTTTACAAAAAAATGAAAAAATACAAAAAAATAAAAATCTTAAATTTTATAAAATTGAATTCAAAAAATTTAAACAGTTAATTTGAACCAAATGTTGATAAGAGATAAACTGAAATTTGACCACGGCATTTCCCATATGTTCTGCTTGACGACTTCAAAAGCTTTATGCTAAGATAATTCTAAGACTCATCATTCATTTTTGAATTAGAGTTCCACCTATTTTCTTGCATCCAAACAGTACCTTCCGACGAAGCCAACAAAAAACTTGCATGATATGAACAAAAAAACAAATTATAATTGTCATCATGACTTCAAATTTTTTTCGTTCCATAAGACCTCTCTGAACAATGACAAAATATCCAAATCAACCAGACAAAAAAATATACAAAAGATGTTTTTTTTTTGTTTATTCTTATCTTAATCTCAATAACAAACAAAAAATAAAATAAAATAAAATAAAAGATCAACACAACACAACCCAAAACAAGACAATAAATTGAAAAGATAGTAGAGACAATTGTAAACTTGGTTTAGCGCAATTAACCTAATGCTAATGTCTTAGAGAGAGAAGAACTTGGTTGACTAGCTTGTCTAGATTCAGGAAAGATGAACCAGATGAACTCTCAGTGGCCTCTTGAGCCAATCTCTTCCACTCCATAGCCTTTTTCTTCATCTCCTTTCCTTTCTCTCCAACCATCAACTCTCTCACAAGGCTTTCAACTTCATCTTTCTTAACATCATTATCTATCTCCATCCCTATGCCCCATTGGGTGCAACAGTGCCAACAATTTGTTTGTTGCTCCGCAAAAAATGGCCAACAGACCATTGGAACTCCGCTCGAAATGCTTTCAAGTGTGGAGTTCCACCCAGAGTGAGTTAGAAACGCTCCAATAGACGGGTGGTCAAGAACTTGCTCTTGGGGGCACCAACTTGCCAATAAGCCTCTTTCTTTTGTTGCTTCCATGAATTCCGGTGGAAGAACAGCCAAGTCGCCAGTGACAAGATCAGGTCTTATTATCCACAAAAAGGTCTGGTTGCTATTAACAAGTCCCCAAGCAAACTCAACCATTTGGTTTGGTGTCATGACAGTGATGCTTCCAAAGTTCACATAAACAACAGAGTTGGGTTCTTTTGTGTCGAGCCATTCAAGGCACCCGGGTTCTTCTTTCCACAGATTTGATCCTATCAACTTTAGACTATCATCGTTGATTTGATTCGTTAATAAGTGTAAAGGTCCGATGGTGTAGATTGGAGAGAACATGGATGAAAGAGCCTCCAAAACGTTATGTTCTAATTTCTCAAATGTATTGAAAATAATGGCAGAGGCTCTGCGAGCTCTCTCAGTTTCACCACACACAAAATCAATCATAAAATCGCTTAGATCTGTGGTTCGAAGAAAACTTGGTAAATCCTTCAAACGTATACCTTTCATACCAGGTATCCAATCGATAACTGTATCTAAATACCCATTTGTCATGCAACTCTTATCTGCACATCACCCCAAAAAAATAATATTAGCACCAAATTTACGATATTGTATTGAAAATCTCGATAAATTCATAAATCCATAATAATGATGTTTAAAATTTTAAATATTTTATTAATTTTTTTATCAAATATGTCACATAAATGTAAAACTAATATCATATAAATCTCATATAAATTTCACACTCATATAAAATATTTTAAATTTTTTTTAATGAACTTTCAAAATCTCTAACATTATTCAAACATTATCCAATTAATAAAGGTAAATATAGATAGGATAGCCGTAAATGTCAACACTCTAGGAGTACATATGCAGGCTCATAAAGAAAAATGTTTGGACCTCACAAAAGATGACCCTCATGATCCTTATTGATATATAAACTATTGATATGTTTAATTTTTTTTTTGAAAGTTGTGTCTGATAGTGACATGAATGATTTAGATTATTTTAGAATTGTGGGGGTTATATTTTGTGGGGATCTTTATCATTGTTGGACTTATAATATATTTTTTAAATTTATTTCTCTACTCTATCAATATATATATATATTTGTGTGTGTTATCGTGAAAATTTTCAAAGTTTTTATTGACTTTAGAAATCAAACTAGTAGTGACCCATCATGTGATAGAGAAATTAATCTAATTTAGATGAGAGAAGACGTGTTATTAATCCAATTAAAATATAAAAAATAATGAGATATAGATATAATTTTTACATAAAAAATTCACACACGTACAAAAATTACAAAAATATTTAAAACTTTAAAACAAGAATTTTAAATGAGCTTTAATGGATGAGACTATGCATTGATTTAATGTTTTGACTTTTCGTTTTTTTTTAAAACCTTACCACGTTAGAACTCTCTCCCTAGAGCACTGTGTCATCATCGCAAAAATGTTATGTATGAATTATTTTAATTAATAAAAAAAAGGTATTGATCTAGCGTACTTGAATGCATGTACATATATATGTGTGCATGTAATGCATACATGTAATTATATTAATATACATATTAATTGAAGTAATAATACCCTTAAGTGGAATATAACTCTTATCGATAAGATTACGATACTGTTCATAACCCATGAAGCCACAAGCACTAGTTGTCCAGAAAAGAACTTCAGGAATGCCCAATTCTTCAGCAGCATCCACAGTGAAGCTCATAGCCCCATCGGAGACTATGCAAGTCACCGGCGGG